ATTGACGCCCAGATCAGTCCTGTGAGAGAACGTTACTGCCTTGTCTTTTATCGACTCTATTTGTGTGTTTGTGTGCATATGTGTGCGGGTGTGCATATGCAAATGCACACATGTGTCAGTCAGAGCACAGCTTGTAGCACTCAGTCTTCTCTTCCCACCATATGTGTTCTGAGATAGAACTCAATCCATCAGGCTTGGCAGTAAGAACTTTTACCTCCTGTGCTCTCTGGTCGGTTCTCCTTGTTGTTCCTGTCCTGAAGGAGGGTGGCCCTTACAAAGAATCCCCGTGGCACTTATTTAAAACATGTGTAAAAACAACATATAATGAAGCACCAGAATCAAAAATTTACGAAATATGAGCTCGTTCTGGAAAGAAACTATCCTTTTGTGTGAAGAAGAATCTTGATAGGCCCGTCAGATTGGGCAAGGTGCCTTGTAAAGGGAGCAAGAGTCAAAATGATCCAAGCCCTTTGAATCAAGAACGTGGAAAGCCATGGCTTCTAAGTTTATCTCTTAGTTTGTAAGACATCTTAAGTATTTTGAATAACCAGCTTAGTGAAATACTATGTTAGCATGCCAAAGTCTAAAAATACATACTGTTGCATATATGCACAGAGGAGTTTTGAGGAAAGTGTGGGAATTTGTATCTTTCCTATCAATATGATAATCTAGCGTAGTGTGAACCCAAGAAGTGTAACCTAAAGATAAAATGTTATTACTATAATAAGTCCGTGATACTTTGCACTTTGCACTAGATGATGGTGTTCGTGAATAAAAGACTTTCTTTGACAATGAGAACTTTTAAAAAGGCCAATAATTTGCATCAAATATTTATTATTCTTCAGTTACTGATGATGGCATTTATGCATTCTTTTAAGAGATTCATATGCACATAAGCAAAAATGTCAAGGCAGTTACTGACCCACTGATAAAGCACACAGCATTTACCTCTGTGTCTTTTATTTTTCTGGTCTCAGTGTTTGTGTATCTATGTGTATAATTAAATGCATGTCTAAAAAGACACTTATGTGTTCCTATTGCTTTAGTATAAAAATGATCCCAAAAATGCTTGTTTTGATAGCTTGGTTCCCATTGCAGCATTGTTGAAGGGTGAGGTTTTGGGCATGTGTTCGGATTATGAGAGCTTTAATATGCTCAGTAGATTGGCTCATTGATGTTCTTGTTGTGTAGATTATTGGGAGGTAGGGCCTGCTTGGAGTATTCTGTTACTGAGAGTATTGTCTTAGTATATATCTTGTCCTTGGTCTCAGTCAGTGGTAGTTCATCAATACTCCTCCTGCCGTAGGTGGTGACAACAAGTGACTGTGGAGTGAAAACTTTGAAACCATCAGCGAAATAAATCTTCCCTTTCTTTAGTTGATTTTCATAGGTATCTTGTCACAGTGATGGAAAACTAGCCATATGGATATAATATTTTATAACCCACATGTTGTCACCTACTATATTATGAGTATCTACCATGAAATGTTTAAATGATATTTTTAATGGCTACTTCATTGTTCATTAAACTCATTAGTCATAATTTTATTAGTTGCATATTTTTGAACATTTATATTCCTTTTATTTTCTCCATTTAATGAATATAATGGATGAGTTACTTTTTCAGTTATACCTTTTTTCATTTACACATGACTTTTTCTCATGTGCATTTATCAATTTTGAATTACCACATTAGGGGCCATATATATCTTTCAAGTTTTTCTTCTTCTTGCCAAATTATTCCCCAGAAAGTTGCGCTATTTAAAAATAATGCAAACACATAAATTTAGGCATTCTTCCTTGAGTGATGCATTGAAGAACCCTTAGCTCAGGTGACCATGGAGAGTATTAACTCCACATCAAAGAAGTTACTTTTAGTGACATTTACTACATTTGTGTGACTTGACATTATTAAGCCTTCAGATAGCGAAGCCTCCGTCAAACATGACTGAACACTTGCTTGAAATTTGAGGGGACCAGAATAACACTACACAGGCTTTGATTTTTAACATCAAGAATGAACGATGTACATGTGTGAAATTTCCGGACTTTATGTGTAGAGGGTCAGTTGTCAGAGATTGTAGCAGTAGTCTTTGGAACTTGGTAAGAACAGTGTTGGCAACATCTAGGTGGGTGGAGGGAGGTCTGTGTCCCAGCTGTGACTACACAGGCACCAGCTGTGCAAATTGCCAGTGTCTCGAGTGGGTCGACAGGGCATTCAGTTGCTCCTGGGTGCTTCTTCCTCTGCAGCACAGCTCAGTAAGTGCATTATTAATGCGCAGAACTCAGCCCAGGGAGCCAGGCAGGGCTCTGTGTAAGTAAGACTATTTATCCCAACCATTCCATAGAAGTGAGTTATCAGCACTAATTTCCTTCATTATTTAACCTATGTTGAGTGGTACTAAAATGCTGAAATAGTTAGGATAAGCTTTTATTTCGTGACTTCCGTCTTTCTAATGATCAAATTGGTAAGGAGTAATGATGACTGGAGTTTGTTCATTCCATTTCTTTAATAAGAAAATGGCTGTAGTTTAAAATGCAAATGGCTAAAAATTGCTAAATGGTCTTAATGGTAAATATAATGCAGATTTAAAATGTGACACAAAGCATATTTTATTCCAAACTTTATTTTATGACAGAGGAAAATTACTATTAGGAAGCTAATAAGTCTTTGGAGCTCCACACTTTAAAATTGCTAGTCAGAAGCTAAGCTTGTAAAAATAAATACATAATTTCCTTGTAAAATGCTATACCAATGCAAAAACAGGGCATGGAAATTGGGCAGCAATGCTGGATAGCTTTTCTGGGATCTCAGGCCTGGTCATGCATGGTTAAGACCAGAAACAAGTCTTGATGCAAACTTGTGATTTGTAAAGACATTTGGATAAAATTAGTTATTGGTGTTAAGTATGTGAGAATAGCCATAAAAAAAAAAGCATCCTTTTTCTGTAAATTAGATTAGGATCCAGGATATCCTGTTTCTTTGTTTTTTTTTTTTCCCTTTTTGGTAAATGTTTTCCAAAAATACACAGATGATTTATTTTAATAATGTGCTGTCCGTGAGAATCAAGTTAAAAAGTGATTCCAGCTTATGAGAGACGATGAAGACGGGGAACCACATGTCAACAATAACAGGAATTACTATTAATACAGTATGTGTATTCCGTACTTGACTGTCCTGAAGTACGAGGTAAAATTGTCATAAAAGCTGGGGATCGCCGGGCGGTGGTGGCGCACGCCTTTAATCCCAGCACTCGGGAGGCAGAGCCAGGTGGATCTCTGTGAGTTCGAGGCCAGCCTGGGCTACCAAGTGAGTCCCAGGAAAGGCGCAAAGCTACACAGAGAAACCCTGTCTCCAAAAACCAAAAAAAAAAAAAAAAGCTGGGGATCACAGAGGTCCGCTCTGGTGGGAATCGTCCAGATTGGAAATTTGATTTCTTAAGTAGTTGAAGCCTTGCCCTCTGGAACGGTTTGAACTCCAGGTTGTAGATGAGCTGAGCTAGGTAGACCAGTAGTTGTCGAGTGTTTAGTATGTCATTGGTACAAGTTATTATGTGTCAGAACAGAATACGGAAGATTAGTTCTGCGTTTCAGGAAGAGAGGGCCAAGTGTAGTGTAAGAACCTTTGTGAGAGTTAGCTCTGAAATATGACACCTAATAGATTGCTGTTAAAATTATATTCCAGGGAGAAATGGATTTATGGTAAAATTTGGTTCTAATTTGAAGTGTGACAAAATGATAGCTTTACATTTTTTTTGTGACTTATGTATTTATTAAAATCTTTTATTTATTTATTTATTTATTTATTTTTGCAGGAGAACAGGGTGTCTTTCTGGAGAGCTGCTTGCATTAATATAGTAGTACAGTGCCGACATCCAACTGCTGTAATTAGTCACTGCATGACCTTAGCCAGTAGCCAAAAGTCAGTGTTAGTGCTGTGAAGGTAGGCCTGTGTCATTCCCATCACCACGATCCCCAACAAATGATTCGTTACTCAGTCAACGTGACTTCACGCTTGCTTTAATTCAGTTTTACAAGAGCAGTGTAGGCATCGCAAACTGGGGTCAGCAGTAATCTTAATGGGATGACAGTTTAGTGAATGAAACTACGTTGCATCAACTATGTACCAGAATCAGCTTTAGAAAAGTTGGGCATTAGGATCAGCAAGATGGCTCAGTGGGTATGAAACCTGAGTTCAATTCCTAGGTCCCACATACTGGAAGGAGATGACTGACACCCTCAAGTGCTTTCTGACTTCAAACACGTGCTCTGGAACACACACACACACACACACACACACACACACACACACACACACACACACACGCGCGCGCGCGCGCGCGCGCGCACGCATACACACGCATACATATGCACATATGCACGCACTTGTAAAAAAAAGTGTAGAAAGAAAGGAAAGTTGAACATTTACCCCAATACTCACTTTACAAAGTATTCTTACTCCATGACTTGATGGTCTCAGTAGTTAGTAACTGGCAAAAGGCACATGACTTGAATAAGCAAAAAATATTGGTATTTGAAGTTGGAAGTTACTCCACTTCCTGGAGTATTCTGTTCCCCTGCCTTAACATTCTTGTTGAGGGAGGAAGAAAGAGAAGAAGGTACTTTCCATGCACGTGAGATCAATACATTTATTTGGTTTCTTTTTCAAAGCTCACAGTTTGGTAGGACTGGAGAAATTTTCAAGGGAGATTTGAACTAGAATCAGGCTCTGCCTGGTCTTACCTCATTTTCTATTTGTAAAAAAAAAGGGTTAATTACAAGTTGTAGAGAAGAATCAATGTGTGCGTCCAGTTTGTGCAATGTTAGTAAGGAATGGCTTCACATAATATCTTGACTAATATTATTCTATTGCAGTGCCCAAGAAGACATTTTAAAATTTATTATTCTCATAGAGTATATTCTCATATATTCTTTTATTCTTGTGTGTTCCCTTTGGCATATCACTTTTTTTAGCGCTGTTCTTTGTAATGTCGTTTCAGGTTCCTATATGGTTGTGGACGCCTCAAATCATGATCCCGGAGAGAAAGCCCGACTTCAGCTGCCTACCATGAAGGAAAATGACACTCACTGCATTGATTTCAGTTACCTGTTATACAGCCAGAAAGGGCTGAACCCTGGCACTTTGAACATCCTAGTTCGAGTGAATAAAGGACCCCTTGCTAATCCAATTTGGAATGTGACTGGATTCACTGGTCGAGACTGGCTTCGGGCTGAGCTGGCAGTGAGCACCTTTTGGCCCAATGAATATCAGGTAATCCTCTGAGATTTTCTGCCTTGTGCTTTCATATATTGGCTCTCCGTGTATGTGGAAAACATAGATATAAATACTGATCCCGTAATAGTAGGGTTCCTCCCTCCTGTTTCCCAACTCCTCATTCTTGAGGAGAAGTTTGGATACACAGGCACAGAACCTTCTAACTAGAGACAATACTTTACCGCTCAGAAAATCAGCACCTCAGCCCACAATTTGTGGTCCGCTTATTAAAGGGCTACTTACTTCTGATTCCGATGCACACATTTCTGTGTCTTTGTGCAGGAAAAAATAGTTTTCTTTTGTTTTTCCATTATGCTGAAATATTCTGACTGGATTGGTTTACTGATTTCTTGAAAATAACATTTTCAATATAAACAGAAGATTGAATGTTGTAAAATATGGTATTATCTTGTGATGGTGACGTGATTATTATTTTTCTTAAGCAAATGGAATATTTAAAAGAAGCAAACAAAAAAGGACAGATTGTCCATAAAAATCTTTGGATGATTTTTTTCTTGGAATGCTTAATCTGATTATGATGAAAAGACACAGTCAAGAATGTTAATTCCCCCTTTAGGGTTCTGTGACTGAGTTTATATGGTTCAACGTTGAAGTTCATGGACGAGCTTGAAGACTCCCTCAGTCACACAGGCCGTTATTAGGGCCTGGAAATACCTGATCTTCTGTAAGAATGCAGAGCTTGTGTTAGACCTGAGATTTCACCCTTTTGGAAGACTCAACTCTTTGTGGTTTATTATAGAGCTAATGAAAGGGCATTTATATGAGCATATTTCACAACAGCCTGTAGCAGATACGTTAATAATCATTTCATTTACGTATTTCAAAAGTGAACCCTTTTGGTTGTTACTCATTAACTAAAAAAAAGAAAAGAAAAGAAAAGAAAAAAGTGCATCCCCTTACTTGGTTTTTCTTGAATTGATTTTTTTAGTTTCACCACTGCCTGGATCTGGTAAAAGTTAAGGTTCTCATTTCCAGGTTATGTGTCTGGTGAAAATTCAGTGCCCTTTTTAGGTGCTAGTGGCTTCCATTATTCCTGAACAGAAAAATGTTGCTCTTTACTCTGATAGGAGAGCCATGTGGTTTTTTTTTTTTTTTTTTTTTTTAGGACCTACAGTGCATCCTACAGATTGCATATGTAAATGGGTAGGGTGTGTACATGTGTGTGCGTATGTGTGTGCATGTGTGTCAAGCTGCCGTTAGAGCAGTGATTGTAAACCAGGGGACTTATCTGTGACTTGAGTGTGTAAGTGACTGCCATCACTAGATCTTCTTACTGTGTACTGTCAGTATACTGATTTCATGGGTATCTGTCATGGAGCTTAATGAAGCCCTTGGAAGAAGGAGGTCTGGTGCAGCCAAAGGAAAATGCCAGCATATCTAGCCTCCCTAACACACACTGAAGCCCCAGACAACAAATAAATCTAACAGAATTGTACCAATGTGAGCTCCAGAGTCAGGCTCTGTAGCTACCTGCTATTCGTTACCCGCGTCAGTAGTTCCTCGGGGAATCAGAGTGTTATTTGTTCTTCCTTTTGATAAACATGACTGATAGCATATCAATGATGTGCTTCCCCCTTGTCACTAAGAAATTATATTCATATCTTTATGTTCTTATTTTTTAAAAGACACACTTTTGACTCACTGATAGTAAGAGAATTTAAAATTTTTATTTAACTATTTTATTTTATTTTTTGCTTTTTTGAGACAAAATTTCTCTCTGTAGCCTTGGCTATACTGGAACTCACTCCGTAGACCAGCCTGGCCTTGAACTTACAGAGATCCTCCTGCCTCTGCTTCCCAAGTACTGGGATCAAAGGCATGTGCCACCCATCTATAAGAGAATTTTCTTATGGCACAGATTATTATAGTATTAGTTGTTATAATCTGGATACACATTTCTCTGTTGTGGCTCATTTTCTATACAAAATATCCTCCATCATGTGTACTTATGATAGTTTTTTTTTTTTTTTAAATTTTGAGACAGGTTCTTACTATATAGTCCTGGCTGTTCTAGAACTCACTATGTAGACCAGACTGTCCTGGAACTCACAGAGATCCACCTGCCTCTGCCTCCCAAGTGCTGGGATAGATTTAAGCCAGATATCCAAAGTGCCTTGTGTGAGTTTCAGTCTGGCTGTGACATATTCTTGGAGATGTCTCACCAGAGGAAAAAACTTAATGAAATACTCAGAACAATGGGCAAAGATCTCATTGTAATTTATTAAGGGAATATTTTCCCTCCACCATTCTTCCTTACCCTCTAAAACTTCAGCAATAAGAGAGAATAACAGGAGTTTTTAGTGATGTGCTCAACTCTCAATAAATTATTTGATTGGTCTTTTAATCATTTTAGTCATGTAGATAACTAGTTGTACCTGTGCAGTATTTTGATGGGTGATTTGACAGTTGAAAGTCTCCCTTTCAGGAGGCACCATTTGCTGGAAGTACCGGTTTTCAGAGGCCAGTTGTGAGATTTCTCTCGCAGAAATTTGGATGACTGATTTCTGTTCTTTTGTAAGAAAAAGACCGCCCCATTGTCATACAAAGGTACTTGCTAGCCTCCAAACTTATGACTTAAAGCTTTTATTTTCTCAGGTCAAACCTACTCCAGCTGAGCTTGGTAGCTCCTGCGGGTTATTCTACGGGAATCTGCTCTGTGAGGATTGCCCTCTGAATTTAAGGCCAGCCTGGGCTACAGTGTGCATCATAAAAAAGAAGGAAAGGAGGAAGAAGGAAGGAACAAAGAGAGGGAGGGTGAGAGTGAGGGGGGGAGGAAAAGGTGGGAGGGATGCGAGGGAAATAGCCAAGCCTTTGCAAGCAGTTGCTTAAGATGTCAGAACTTCTTTTTCATATTTGAAAAAATGAAAATATTTTTAGAAAAAAGGTAAAAAAGAAAATCTTTTCCCTAGAGGAAAGTACTAACATATGATTGCCTAAATCATTAAATGATTTAGCTGAGACTCCCCCCCCCCCCCCAATGCATTACTTAAAAAAAGAAATTAGACTTGTAAGGAAGAATTATCTTCAGGTTGTGGAGAAACTGTACCATCGAAATGACCCATTGAGTGTCATTATTTGGTATTTCATTCTTTAATCTTGTTTGAAGCAGGGTTTATAGAGAAATCTATTTCTGCCTATCCTTCCTCTTCATGGCTGGTCCATCTTGTGAATGGAGAGGAATCTGGGCTACAAATCATGGCAGATTGTGTTTGCTTTCTAGTCACATAAGCAAAAGAATGCATTGAGTGCACACTTCCTATTTTTGAAAAGAAGAAGAGGGTGTAAATTTTATTTTTGGCAATCATCATAGTAGCATAGTACTATATAAGGAAGTGTGCTGTGCATCTGTCTTCAGGACAGTAGTTGTCTTCAGCCCAGGTCATGGGTAGAAATGATCACATTACATTTATTTTATGTGTCATGGTAGGAAGATGCTACGGCATATTCTAGGCTTCAAGGTAGGACTGTAGATTCTTAAGGTGATTGCTAGTTAAATAACAGACAAACAAACCAACCAACCTCACTAAAAAACCTTTGGAAACCTAATCTCTGCTTATCTTACATTATAACTAAAGATCTGCACAGGTCTAAGAGAGTAATATTTTTTATTTCAGAAATCCGACTTGTCTTGTGTGCATGAATGCAGTTCTGCTTTATTATGAAACCCATTATGTTCCTATTGAACAGTGAGGTTGTTACTAAATGAGGCAGATAGATGACGTACATAACTTGCAAAACTATTAGTGGAGACCTAATCTGTTGCTTTCCATTAACTGGGTGCACATCATTAATCTCAAAAATGATGCGTGATGAACACCACGGGGCTCTGGCCAGGAATTGAAATGCAACAATCTAGCAAGTGCACTTCCTTTTATTCAGGAGAAATAAACATAGACCTTGTATAATGCATTTTCTTCACCTTTGCTTCCTGTTTGTTTAGAAAGAATGTAAAAACAGAGGTATGAGTCTCTGGCTTTGCCTCCCTTTTAGAGTTCTGTTCATATGTACTGTGCTGATACTTTGGCAGTGGAGAGATTGCCACGCTCCAGATATTGGAGATCCTGCTGATTTTGGATATAAAAAGACTGTGACTTAAGTTAAGTGAGAGTGTACCTGAATAAATGGCCCCTAGAAGACGGATTGGGAGACAGGGCAACCTCTGTCAAACCAGCCTGCAAACAGCATCCTACAGAGTTTCAGGGGTGTTAAACCTCTGCCATACCTCTTAGAACTCCCAATTTTTGCTAGTCCTTATATGTCCATGAAGATCTCACCTTAGATATAGCTTGGAGATTTAACATACATACATACATACATACATACATACATACATACATACATACATACGTGTGTGTGTGTATTCTCCAAACATTGTAACTCTGTCTCATTATTGTGAATACTGAGATGTATTTCGATACTGTTCTTGTCTGTTTGATAGTCATTGTCCCCTCGTTCTACCCTGGCAGGACTTCTCATTGGGCTGGCATTTCTCATTCATTTTGTAGGCAAGGGTGTGCTCTGGGTAGTGAGTTAGAAGAAGAGTTTACTAGGCTATATCAGGGAAAAATTTTATTTCCTAGCATGTGAGGGGGCGCTGAAGGGAGGGAGGAAGATTGTTACTATTGCCTTCATCTGAGGAAGAAAATGATTGACCAATATAACAAGGCAGCAAAAATTATGGAAGTGGCCTCGGCCCTATTCCCAGGCAAAGTAATAATAACAATATACTGTAATAGCAATAACTATTCTTTAACTTGCATGTAGATGAGTATTCTGCTTCCTAATGTACCATGCCAGTTTTCTCAAGTTGTTCCTATTTCTGGTTTATGGTCAGCATAGGGAGGCATGTTAGAAGTGACAGTATGCTCGTATACCTATGATTGGAGCCAGTCACACTTCCAGTGTCCTCATTATTTAGAAGACAAACATATACAGTTGAGCAGAGTCAATAGGCTGCATGACGATATATCAATACA